TCAAATTCATACATACACACGTGGGGGGAAGATTCATTGTGTGTTACTGGAGCTCTGGGGAAAACAGCACAGGTGTGCTCTCACCCAAAGCCTTCTCCTGCAGAGCATGTTCTCCTTATGATCCAGGTTTTGTTCTTGAAGAACCCAAGCTCAAGCAATTTTGAGATACTTTGCATTGCTACTTAAATGTTTTGCACTTCTGCTGTTTGTTTGCAGGCAGCTGGGATGCCCACACTGATTTTCTAAGGTTATTTAAATCCTCCTTTATTTGTTAACAAATTAGGTTGTTGCACAACACATTGGCATGTGAAGCCTTCAGAAAAAGGGAGAGGCACAAGTCAGTGGAATTAGGAAGGAGCTCTGTGACCTCAGCAGAGTTAACAAAGGACAGCTCTGTGGTCTGGGTGCCTGTGGTGACTGGCTGAAGGAATATTTCTGTAGGTCAGGGCTCTTCAGAGGGGGCCTCACCTTCCAGATCAGTGTCTGGGGCCCATTTCAGACAACAGTGACACATTTCCACCCAGCCTGGGCTCTTGGTGCTGCACGAACAGCACCAGCAGATGTGCAGTTACTTTTACACCAGACTCCAGGCACTGTGTGTTGCTGAAGGACTCAAACCCAGGCATCTCCATCCACTGGAAACACTCTTCTCTCATCTGCCACTGTGAAAAACCAGATCACTGACTTGCTACAGGCCCTCACAGCTTTAGAAAAGCCCATGAATGTCCTGTGTGGATCAGGTCTCGGGTACACCCATGCACTGGGCTGCAGTGATTGCTCAAACAGCCACGTTTGGAGCATCCCTTTGGAAAACCCTGGCCTACTACTGCAACTTCACACATCCCACCAAACAAAACCCTTCCTTATCATCTGCAGAAATCTCCTGCACTCTTTGTGTAAAATTTCAGTCATGTAATGGAAACATTTCAGAAATTCAGTGCCCAGGGAAACTGAAGGTTACTGAGGTGGTGTTTCCTCTGCACTAGCAGAAGCACAAACAGATTCACACCAACATTAAAGCAGCAAACATTCAGATTTTAAAGCACTCTGAGGCCTTGGAATTGCCTCCCTTTTTATCTGTTCAGGCACAATATTGGAAAATGATATTTCCCTCTTCAAGTCTGTAGCAATTTCAATAATAAAGCAGAGGTTATGTAAGTGCAGAGAATTATGGAAAAAATATAAGTGGAAAGTACATCGTTTTAGAATTCATTTGAATAACTCCAATGCAACTGAGCTGACTTTATTCACACTTTCCAGTCTTAGTCAATACTGGATTGAAACCAAGCACAAGACATTTTGGGCCCAAAGGAGGTTTTTAAGAAAATGACAAGTACCTATATTTCCAGTTTGCACCGCCTGTCTGGGAAAGCTCTGCGGCCTGAGGAAACACCAAGTGCCCTGTCCTGGGATCAAACAGCAGAGATGTGAACTAATTAAAGGCACCTTTGGATCAGGCTGTAAACACAAGGGCTGGCTCCACCTGGATGGAAATGCTGTGGAGTCTGAGGCTCAGAGCCACCCTCACCCTGCGAGCTCATCCCAAGCTCCAGACACAGCTCTGCATTCCCTCCACACCCAGGGCTGCAGCTGAGAAGGAATGCAAGACAGAAATGAGTTTCTTATCAGATCTTGTTGGGTGATGCCTGTGGAGCTGCCAGAGCTGCAGAGTGGGACATGGCACAGCCCAACTCCACAGCCCCGAGACTTCAACCCGCTGCTCCGGCAGGGCTCTGGGAAAAAGGTGAAAATGCTTTCTACAGCACAAGCAACTGCTCCTAACTCAGGGATACATGGATGTATTTCTGTAATAAACTATTTTCATCAAAGGAAAAGTGAAGATCACAGATTTGTATGAGAATGAGTAAAAAAGGGAATAAATGATGTATTTCCAGACTCAGGGGCATTTGGAAGTCTGGCTAAAAGAAAAGAGATTTAATAATCACAGACCTCACCGAGGGGAACAATAAACACCCAAAGAAGGACAGGAGGTTTCCCAGGGTAACCCTGTGTGCCCATTCCCTCCCAGACCAAGGGCAGCATCGTGCATACAACTGCACATGGCAAAATCTCCCATCACCCCAAAGAGACCCAAACTTCCCCTTGGCCTCTGGTGAGATAAAGCAGTTACAGCTCCTTCAGTTCCACAGCATTTCAATGTGCAGGGACAAAGACCTCCCAAATGCATGAAGCACACAAAGGACTGTGGAAACAAGGCTCTTCATGTGGGCATTGTGGCCTTTTTGCCATTTTGCCAGGGCTGGGACCTTCCTGGATGTTCCTCTCTTTACTCTCCCCAAAGAGAATGAAAACCTGTAGGATAAAGATGCTGTCAAAAATGTCCAAAGGACATATTGAGGTAATTCACATTGCATTTTGTCCAGAGCTGAGAGAAGAGTGTGTTGAATAGTGCATCTACTGTTTCGAGAAAAAGAAATACTAGCTAAAATTAAGGGCTTTGGCTACTTTAGGGCTTCCTAGGCAAGATTAAATCAAAACATTTCCTGTAAACATTCCCTCTTTTCATCAGCATGTCAGTTGTAGTAAAGAGAATGTGATCCTAATTCTCAGCATCAAAATCTGGGATAAGCATAAAGTCAAATGTTTTCTTACTTTCACAGAAAAAACTGTGACTGGAAATATTTTCCAAAGCATGTTGCAAGTGGAGGTAAGTAAATCAGCTAGAGCACAGCACATTTTTAAAGGAAAAAAGTTTCTAAAACTGAATCAGGATTTAATAAAAAATGTCTCTGAGGTACACAAGTCATGCCCATAATAGAATATTTTTCAGTTTTCAACCCTGTATTGAGAATTTTAAACCACTAGCAGATGCAGGAAACAAAAGCAAAATTGTCCCTTATTCTCTGCTATACACACACAGATAGAAACAGGAACACAAGGAGAGCCTCTCAAACATTTTCCACAAGACAAGAAATTTGCTCACAATTCCTTCTCCCTTTAAATTGTTTCTGTGGCAACACATCTGGTGCTGTAATTCTGGGCCAGCACATTAACTATCCTGCAAGAAGAAAGTTATGTTGTTGTTCTGTGTGCAGGAACGTGAAGCAGAGAGATCTGTGAGCACACGTAATCAGGTCACCCCTCCTGCCTCCCCAGGCACACAGAACATCAGCTAGGGCTATTTATGCACAGCTTCAAATTGCAACTTTTGAAACATTTCAACAATGCTTAGAGAAAACTCTCATGGTAAACACAGTCTGTGAGCCGGGGGTTTTTGAAAATAAAATGATGAGTGCTTTGCTGTTGCTCCTACTGTGTGAAATAAATAAATTATCCAGCTAAGAGGGACAAGGTTCATTTCCTAACCATAAACATAACTCTCCCTATGTAGTGGAGCAAGGCTGGTGTTGGTTTCTGATCTCCCAGCACTGCAGAGTCTCTGCTGTATTATCACCATTTCACACACGAGATGTGTCAGCAGCAGGTGAGGCCACAACGCCTCAAGTGTGTAAAACTCATCTGCCCCAGGATGAGCCACCCCTCCCACAATCACAGAATCCCTTGGGCTGGAAAATCCCTCCCAGAACATCAGATCCCAGCTGTGCCCATCCCCAGCCTGTCCCCAGAGCACTCAGTGCCACCTCCAGCCCTTCCAGGGACACTCCAGGGATGGGCACTGCAAACCCCCCTGGGCACTTCCAAGGCCTCAGCTTCCTTTCAGTGAAAAAATTCTTCCCAAAATGCAGCCCTGGGCTCCTCAAGCTCGTGAGGACCAACAGATTTTACATGAGGGAAACAATGGAAGTAGATTTTTGCTACTTCATCAAGCAGATCAGGCAGGGCTGGATTCATGGAAAGAACATATCTGATGAGCAATAAAACGTCACACAGTTACTGTCCCAATAATAATTGCATGTGTTCTCCATAAAACAGTTATTATTATTTAATTTGAAACAGCTAAATTCTCATTTTAGAGCAGTTACATATAAATCTGTTTGTTAACTACACTTAGGGTATTTCTGTATTAATGACAAGATCATCTTAGTGTTCTGATCTTCTAAATTACTGGTGATTAAATGCCTTGTCTGTCTGAAAACCAAGCTATTGCCCTAAAAAGTTGAATTGAATAAAAATGATAGTTTTCAGGCATTCTATCTTTGAAGACATGCTGCCTTAAAGCAGTCTGTCCTCAGGGAGAATAAACTGGCAGCAGAAATGGAAAAGTTGAAAAAAAAGTGGATAAAACCTGGTATTTCATAAATATGTATGTCCCTTCTGTGCTTCTGGAGGCAGCATCCGAGGATGGGAGTTAAAGCCAGGGCCCTGAGCACCTGTAGCCATCACAGGCTGGCTGATGTCCTGTGCACGACTCACTGTCTGTAATTTTGGATTGTCACCAGCCAATCACCTCCCAAAATCCAGTGCTGGCAACAACAGTCTGGATAATTCAACTCTGTCTGTTCCCTCTTTCTCAGCCTTTTGGCTAAGATCAAGTGGGCAGATTTAAATAATATTAAACTTACTATTTTACACAAATTCTCTCCTTCATTTCCAGTCTATTTATTTCATCCAAATGGAACAAATTAATAACCCTTCAGAGACAGTTCCCCATCCCTTGCTTTATCTTGGATAACCTTCTGTACCCAGAGCCTCTGCCTTGTCCTGGTGCTCTGGAGCCCCACACTGTCACTGCTCAGAGACACGTGAGGATCAGAGCTTTCCCCACAGACTCAGCCTGGTGTCCCTCTCTGCCCAGGGTGGCTCTGTTCCACTCCTCAGGCTCTGTGTGAGGACAAGGCTAAGGAGGGCTGCTGAAGGAATTGGCTGTGGAAGGGAATAAAGCATTGGTGGATGTGCTGTTACAGGAGCCAGCTCCCTGCCTGGATTGCTGCTCAGGAGCCCAGGCTGGGGAGAACATTGCAGAACACTGCAGAACACTGCAGAACACTGCAGAACACTGCAGAGCACTGCAGAACATTGCAGGACACTGCAGAACACTGCAGAACACTGCAGAACATTGCAGAGCACTGCAGAACACTGCAGAACATTGCAGAACATTGCAGAACACTGCAGAACACTGCAGAACATTGCAGAACATTGCAGAACATTGCAGAACATTGCAGAACACTGCAGAACACTGCAGAACACTGCAGAACATTGCAGAACACTGCAGAACACTGCAGAACATTGCAGAACACTGCAGAACATTGCAGAACATTGCAGAACACTGCAGAACACTGCAGAACACTGCAGAACACTGCAGAGCAGCTGTGCAGCTGCTGTTTGTCCAGCCAGAAGGAAACCATCCCAGTCCTCACCCTGTCCCTTGGGGGAGCCAATACATAACTCCCTGCTCAGCCTCTCTCTCCAGGCTCTGTGAGCTGCCAGCACACCCTGCAGCTCCTGACAGCCCCCAGGAAGGAGCCCTGGCTCAGGATGCAGGACCTGGAGCCTCAGGAAAGCCCTTGCATTGCTCCCAAGGGGATCCAGGCTGTGACTGGAGGAGAATGCTGCAGGTTAGCTGCTCACACTCTTGTGTCTCACACGTTTCTCTCCACACCCGGGGCATGAAGAGGCTGGGCCTGCCCTCCAGGACAGCTCCAGCCCTTTTTGGCAGGGGTTGTGCAGCTTTTCCTGCTGGGCTGCCACACGTGCTGTTGTCATCACTGTGCAGGACTCAGAGCAGCAGCAGCGAAGGGATGAACACCACGACACAGGAATACAACAGAGAGGGAGTTTCTCACTCCTGTAGCCACAACATCTCTCTCAGGTGAGCCTCATTCAACATGCAATATTCCCCCAGACATGATTTGCACTCTTTGCTACCCTTGCTAATGATCTTCCTCTGCTTTTCTTGTTTTTAATTTAGGGCTTTCCAAAAATAAACCAAAACAAACAATGTAAAGCACCTCATCAATAGGTGTAGCTCCCATTTTGCAGCTGTGAAAACACAGGTATGGACAGATTAAGTCTTGATCCCAACAAAGGAAATGACTGAATCAGGAGCTTGAGTACTGGTGCTGGTTCAATACTCAAGAAATGGCTCCAGAAATATATAACCTTATTTTTCAAATTCCTTAAAGTTCCTCTGGTTGATGAACAACTCTACTTCCATATGGCCCAACTTATTTAAAACACTTTTTAAAGGGGGAAATTAAACTCTGTCTGAATCAAAATGTAACTGGGCTGTGACCCAAAACCTCAACTTGTATTTACACGAATAAGCAATAAAAAAAAATAAATTAAAAGGAAAAAAAAAAAGGCAAATAAAATGTAATCTTTGCACAGACAAAAAGTTAACTAAAATATAACCAGCTCATGCAACACCACCTCCAAAAGGCAAACTCTATGGGATGGCATAAACCTCATCCTGCTGCTCTCACTGCTCCACCTGCTCCAGCCAGGTGCTGTCCTGCCGGGGCTCCGGGCTGTTTCCTGCCGGGAGCGCCTTTACCCCGGAGAAAAAGCTCCCGAGCCTCTCTGCACGGCCGCAGCCCCTGCAGGAGCCTTGGCATCCTGTGAGCCTTGCCCTCTTACAGGTGCTCACCTGTCCCACAGGACACCGGCTCCCACCTCAGGTGTCCTCATCCCCCAGAGGTGTCTGCATCCCCCAGAGGTGTCTGTACCCCCCCAGAGGTGTCTGCATCCCCCAGAGGTGTCTGTACCCCCCAGAGGTGTCTGCATCCCCCAGAGGTGTCTGTGTCCCCCAGAGGTGTCTGTACCCCCCAGAGGTGTCTGTACCCCCCCAGGGGTGTCTGTACCCCCCAGCGGTGTCCGAGTCCCGGCTCAGGTGGCCGCATCCCCACTAGGTGACTGTCCCTTGCCGGCACCGGAGCTTTCCCTGCGGGCGGTGCGGATGTCCTGCGCCCCCCGTGCCCAGCTGTGCCCTACCTGTGCCCAGATGTGCCCAGATGTGCCGTACCTGTGCCCAGATGTGCCCAGCTGTGCCGTACCTGTGCCCAGATGTGCCGTACCTGTGCCCAGCTGTGCCCCGCCTGTTCCCAGATGTGCCCAGATGTGTCCAGATGTGCCGTACCCGTGCCAGATGTGCCCAGATGTGCCGTACCTGTGCCCAGATGTGCCCAGATGTGCCCAGATGTGCCCAACCTGTGCCCAGATGTGCCGTAC